CATTTAATTTTATGTCTTATAGGGTTTATATGGAGTACAATATTGTATAACTATATCAATTCAACTATAAACCTAAAAATTTACAGTCAATTTTGAAAGAGATGCATCTTAGCTCTGGAAATTGTTATTGAATATGTCAATGCTGTTGTAATGAAATGCTTCTTCTAATTATATGGTTATTAAATAGATAATTTTTAAAAAATTAAAACAAAGTTAAAAATGTTAAAATCACATACATTAATCAATGAGCTTCATGGCTTATCATCATCTCCTTGGGGTATTTTTCTTCTCATTCTCTACCATAAGACATAGGATATGGGGCTGGAGTTTGGAATCGGATAATTTCAAGGCTCTGCTACTGTCAGGTAAACTCTTACCCTCTCTACACCTCTGTCCCTGTGAAAAATAGGGATTAAAATAGCCTTATTTATTTTTCGGAGTATTTATATCAAATAAAATTATATATGAAGGGCTGAGGAGAAGGCTTAGTTAGTAAAATGCTTCCCTCATGAGCACGAAGACTCGAGTTCTGATCCCAAACACCCAGGTAGGGCAGTGTGCACCTGTAATCCCAGGGCTTCTTGGCCAGTAAGTCTTACTCAACAGGTGAGCTCTAGGTTTAGTGAGAGAACCTGGCTCAAAATTAAGGTGAAGAACAAGAGAGGGAGACGAATGGCACTGGCCTCTGGCCTCTGGCTTCCATAGACACATGAACATATACATATGCATATGCCGCACATGAAAAAAACAAAGCCCTAAGCCCATAAAAAATAAAACTGTATTTATGAAATTATTCTAGCTTTAAATGTTATCAATCATTAAATTTTAATAAGGTCCTAAAATGTAAGATTGTAAGTGAACTATTTCTATATATGAATTCAGTTCTATTATTGAAGATAAGAAACAAAGATGAAGGGGCTGGCAAGATGGCTCAGGGGTAAAGGAGCTTGCCACCAAGCCTCATGACCTGGGTTTAGTACCTGATACTCCACAAAGTAGTATCTGCATGCTTCCCCAAATAAATGTAAATTTTTAAAAAACTAAAATAAAAAAATGGGGGCTAGAGAGATGGCTCAGCAGTTAAGAGCACTGACTGCTCTTGCAGAGGACCCAGGTTTGATTCCCAGCACCCACATGGCAGCTATGAACCGTCCTTAACTCCAGTTCCAGGGGAATCCGAAGCCCTCTTCTGACTTCCGTGGCACTGCATGACATGGGTGCACTTACATACAGGCAGACAATGCACTCATACACATAAAAATAAAATAATAAATAAAATATTTAAAAACAAAAAACAAACACCAAAAACCTAATTATAAGATGGGCTATGAATTTGAACAGAGTGCTCAAAAGAAGAAATATCAATGAGTAAGAAATATCTTTAAAAGTAGATAAAGGCAATAAAAAACTGATAGCTATCAGGCATCTACTGGCAGATCAACAATACCAAAAAAGAAAAAGAAAAGGAAGGGAAGAGGCAGGCAGGGGATGCTCGTGGAAAATTCTCTTCCCTGCCCCACCAGCAGATCCCACGGGAGGCTCCCAGGAAAAGACTAGAATCCAGTGACAGTCAGCAGAGTCCTGTTAGTGACCACTACCCACAGGGCAAACACCGAGAAAGAACAAGACAACCATACTTGTGGCTCTGCCCTCTAAGTTTTGTTTGGGTTTTTTTTTTTTGTTTGTTTTATTTGTTTTTGTTTGTTTGTTTGTTTGGTGGGGGTAGGCTTCTAAAGCTACATCAGTTGGAAAGGAAACTGAAAAATAGGACAGTAAGTAATCTCTTTTCCTTCAACACAACTGTATTTTCCTAGCTTGACACCATGAAAACAAGAGATTGCGTACAAAACAAACAAAATCTACACACACACTATAATCTACACTCACTGTCTACTCATTTCAACTGCAACTGAATGATTTCAAGATATTCAAGAAGGTCAAGTAAAAAACTCATAACACTAAGTAGCGAAAAAAGCACACAGCATATTGAAAGATGGTCCTGAGATCAAATTATCTTTCTCAAAGTGATTTAGACAAAAACTGGGACAGACACCAAACCTTTTCTTTCACATCAGTTTCATCCTGTTTGTTAATGGTATAAACTGAGCAACATAATTTTGTTTATTACTTCACAAAGTTAACTTAGAGATAATCAAACACACTGCTTCTCTTATATGAAGTTCTTAATCACTCTGTACATTTTTAATGACAAAATTCTCCATACATGTCTGTGTATTTAAGATACTGCTCTTATTGGGTAAAAACAAAATACCCACTTTCTGCAGATAGGAACTTTTTATTGCAAGACAGCACCTTGCAATTATGAGCATGAAACATTTCTGGAAATAAACTAGACATTTGGCCTTAAAGCCTTAAGTCGCAACATTTATCATCAGGGTGATTAATCTTCATGAAAAGGCAGGAAAACAAAACAGAGCCACCCACTCTGACATTTTCATTCTTTGAAAAACATCCCAATCTAGTTTATGAACAGGAACCATCATCTGTAAGAGTATGTAGTCCACTCAGAGTAAATTCTGATTATATGATTAGCAAGATCAGTATCTTCCCAGTCTCTGCAGTGAGAATAGTGCCCTTGGCACTGAGAGGGTGCTAGCACAGCTTTACCAAGAAATCTGATAAACCTTTGTCCAGGAACTAGCCAACCTTTACTAACATGGTTACTTCATTTTTTCCTTTTCTGCTTATTTGAAAAAAATATAAACAAGAAAGATATTGTTAAAAAAAAAAAACCCATTCCATTGATTTGCATAGAAATCAGTGCTGCGCAACTCATCTATATTCAATGGGAAGAGAATGAAGTGTGCATATGTTCCAGTTATGGTATGAATGAAGCAGCCTGCATCTGTGAGGAGGATGTGTTTGTGTGCGTGCATGCATGCATGCGTGTGTGTGTGTGTGTGTGTGTGTGTTTGCATGTGTGCATGCACGCATGTGTGTACTTAGCCAGCCTAGCAAAGGCATGGCTCTAGTCACATGGAGAGGAAGATAGAGGAAGAGGCCGGATCAGCAGGAAAAGGTCTTTGTCAGGCTCAGAGTGGCTGTCACCAGTACCTTAAGCGTAAACCTTAAGGTTGATTCTTAACCTTAAACCAGGATGATTCTTAAAGATTTGGGTTTGATGTTTTTCTCTCCTTTTCTTGCTTTCTTTTGAACAGCTTAGGCAGGGTGAAGTAAACCAGTCAGCCAGGAGACAGCTTTGCTGCAGAGCAAACTACACCAACAGTTCAAAGTGAGGAAAAGAGCCATTCCCAGACCCGTGGGCTGAGAGGAAAATGGGTGTTGGGGACTGGAGCCCAGGGGATGCCAAGGAAAGGGGGCGAGGAACAGCCTGGAACTCAGCTGCCAAGACGACCAGCTTGTCTAGTAAATATCAACTCACCTGGGTGATTTTTTCTATTCCCTGGAAGTTGTGCTTTTCAAAATGTTCTGCTATGTTTAAGAAGGTATGACGTTCTAAATAGCAGCAATTACTCAGGACTATCAAAAGCCGCTGTTCCTAAAATAGAACAAATTTTTAGAAAATTACATTGCGAGCACTGGTGAGTGTAAGAGACAACCCCCATCACTTACAAATTTTAATTATAAGCATTTTCCCTTTAACATCAATATTCAACGTCTTAATCTTGGCAGTTTCTCTCCTATATTAACATAGAGAGAAACACAATACAATTCTACAACTCCACTAATTGTTGATTATTACATCTACACAAAGAGCTGAATAAAGACTTGAGATATAGCTCAGTGGTGAGTTTTTCCCTAGAATGCTCAAGGCCCTGGGTTCTACTTCTACTATCCCCTAAAGAAGAGTTGAATGTTCCTTTAATATTTTATGTACACAAAAGGCCACACAAATAGATACCTTAAATAACTAATTACATAAAATGTAAAAACTATTAGAAAACAGAAAATTTTCACACCCTGAGAGAAATAATGTCATATTATCTGTTTGATGAACTCCTTCAAAAGCTTTCTGCCTGTGGGGAGGCTGTGTGCATGTAGAAAGAGCCTCTCCCTAGTCTCTCTCCAGTGGGGAGTGAGGGTCCCTGAGGCCAAGGGGCTCCCCTTAGGAAGCCAAGAGGGGAAGGACATCTCTTGCTGTTACAATCTTCAAAGATCTGCCCACCTAAACCATTTCTTACAAAATTATTGGACTCCAATGTGGATCTGCACAAGAGCCTTTTTACAGTGAAGAACTATTTATAAAAATGGAATCCCCAGAGTGGCTGCCACCACTGCCTCAGTTCACTGCAGCCTGACTGCGCTGAGGCATTCTCAAGAGTAATATGACTCATCCAGGGCCTTCAGTCAAGATCCTTGACTAAAACTAGAGCAAAACCACTTTCCAGGAGCAGTTCTCGGCCACACTTATTCTTTCTGAACAGAATCTGAGTAACTTGCACTGAAGTCCTCCAGGAGAGAAAATGTAGAAAACAACAGTCCTTTGAGGTAAGTGGAGCAAAAAATGAGCGAGTCTCTAAACTCAGTTACCAAGCACGTCTATCTTCCAGTAATTCTACTGACCTCGCCACATACCCAAGACCTTCTCATTTCTTTACTGACAATTTCCCATCTTTATTTCCAGCAGACTGCAGTCTACTTACTGCCATTTTTGGTCATCAACAGATGTAAATAAAAGGCCCAAGAATCACTGAAGTAACTCAGACAAACAAAAAGTTGCCAGTGGCCCTGACTTAGTTTACAGACAGAAAATGGAACATGGCTTAGTGGGGCAGCATTCTGTATACTACTACTTTTCTGGTTAGTGAGTAAATGACAAGGGTGACATTAGAAAGTAAGAAAGCTGGGCACAGTGAGGCCACCTTCCTTTCGTCACCTCCTGTAGTACTATGACACATGCTACAAGCACATGAGGTAAGCTAAACCAGGCTTTTCAGCAGCCACTCCAAGCATGCTGGGCTCCTCAAATGTCTCCTGGCTTCATATCAATCGTTTACCACTCTTTCTGCAAACGTCCCAGTCTAGCCCACTGGGCCTCAAGTCTTTCCTGCCTGTTCCCAGCTATCTTGGCTTGCTCCTCCCTACCACAGTATGTACGTATGAAGCCTCCCCAAAATGAAAACTACTTTTGATTTTGATCTAAGGACCAGCTCTTTGCAAGTATTCAAATATAAAGAAGCAGATGAAACAAAAGGGGAAGAATAGAGGCACAGCACATCTGATTCCTAAACTTGAATGGATGGTTAACCTGAAGCTCACTGACACCTGAGATGGAGACAGATGTGACAGTATCAGCTTAGCTATCCTGCAGCCCCTGCACATGTAGGAATCGGTCTTAAGCCTTACTTTTTGTGGTCCCAGAGAGCACCAGGCTTAGAGACACTTTTGCCCTGAGTGGAACCTGAGACTGTGTCTTAAGAAACATAAAGAACCAGAATCCTCTAGCTCTACATCTAGATCTCATGCTTATCACATCAGCCCGCCTTCTGGATAGCACAGACCCTGAGAGGACCTACCTGGGTCCTCTGAGAAGATGAGCCAGATTTGATGAGACTCTTCCAATGGGGAAAAACAGGAACAAAATCTGGTAAACAATCAACGTATTTGCAAAGAAAATAGGACACGTAGAAGGCACTGTGAAGTGCAGAAGTACAAAACCTGGGGAAAGTCCTGGGAGAGGCTGAAGGGCAGCTCTGTACCACCCAGGAGGTGGGTCACATGGAGCCAGCCTGTTCTCATCTCTATCCATGAAGAGGGACACAGGGTGAGGAGCAGAACTCCAGGTCCAAGAGTGCAAACACATCAGCTGGGAAATGGCTAATGGGTACATGGTATTGGCTGCAGGTGGCAACGGAACATAGTATTTACGAATCTCAGAAAGATACTACGTATCAATTAGGCTTCTTCTGAAAGACTAAGAAAAAATAAAGTTTGACCAGATGGCTGGCAAGGTCTCAGTTTCAAAGGCTCTTTCCTGCCAGGCATGGTAGGATGCTCCTTAAATCCCAACACTCGGGAGGTAGAGGCAGGTGGATCTCTGCTAGTTCGAGGCCATCCTGGTTCACATTGTGACTTCCAGGTGGGCTGCGATTAGGGAGACTGTCAAAAAACCACCATCACTAACAACAACAAAAATCAAAGGCTCCTTCCTTCAGCCCCATCCCTTCTAACCTTTCTCCTTCCTGAGCTCACACAGAAAAGCTAGTTTCCTACTCAACCATCTTCCTCAGCTCTTGCCATTCTCTTCCAGAAGCCCAGGAAAGTGGCTCCTACATCTCATCTGAGGAGACTCAACCTTTCACCTCCCCAACCTGATGCCCTCAGCCTTGAGTGGCCCCTGTCTCAGAAATACTGTGTTATTAGATTCCTTCTCTCTGATTTTCCCTTTTCAGGAAAAGCTGGCTTCTCCGCTTCAAGCCACCCCACAACTACTGCTTCTGCTGTAGTATATCTTTATGGATCTGGTCCTCCTCATAGTCTATCAGTGCAGGCCCACAGGTCCCCAACAGGCTTTCTGGGCCCTCAATGCTCCATGATCCTGCTGCTGCCTCCCTCCCTCCAAGGCCTTTAGCATCCTAGTCACTGAAGAAGCTACTTGGGCTGTTGTACCCGAGATCAGCAGTGTTTCCCCTGGTAGAGTTTCGGACTACACCCTGGCCTTCAGTTCTTGCTGGAATTCCAACCAACCCCATCTGAGGACAATTTTACAAGAGCCTCCGCAGCACTACTTTTAGGGTGACTCCGTGCAAGTCTGGCTGGCTGGAACAGTTTGCATTTTTCTCAGAATACTTACCTACTGCCAGGCCTTCTATTGCTTATGAATGACTGATCAACAAATACTTCTAATTTCTCTTTAGAGATCCAGACAAGTGCATCCAATTACCCAGTAGACAGCTTTCCACAGTGGCAGTATCACAGCCAATGAGGTTTATCAGAGACTCGATTATTGCTAATTGAAAACTTTTCCCAATTACCCAGTAGGCATCTCTTCCTGAATGCCATTCATTCACTAAGTATGGTTCCAAACTGAGTTTCTACCCTTTCTCACTGAATGATACCATTCTCTACCTATCCACCCAAGTAGGTAGAGTCAGAATAATTTCTTAAATTATTCTGACTAATATACAAAAACTCTTCTTTAGGAATTCATAATTAGAGTAATGGTATAGGATAGGAAATTTGGATTATATGGTTTTCCACACACATATGAAACATTAGAGGGGTTATTTATATTAAGGTGGAGTTTGGATTTCAATGGCTAAGTTTATACACGTGATGATGTATTATGTGAATCCTCCTAAATACTCACATAGGCTAAAAGGGGTGTGTACATATTAATTTTACATATATATTATGTATAATATACATATTATATGGTATGTAGATAAATGGGGGTGTCTGGCTTTTTCAGAGAACCTATGTTCAAATAAAATGGGGAAACTGTAGAAATAAAGCTAAGAAAAGTGCAGCTTGTCAGGCTGAAAAGGGAAAGGGCAGGAAGGAAATACCTTGCCCCCACCTCCTCCAGTCCATCAAGGCAACGTTCTAGCACCAGAGAACTACCAGCCGCCTGTTAACACGCACAACACAGTGAGTGTGCTGGGGCTACTGAGGTTTGCCTGCAGCTACAGATCTGTTAAACATGAAATACATACACATTTTCATACCTAACACAGCTCCAGAGTGTACAGCGGTGTTCCATCATACACGCTACAACAATGATGCTTAATGTTCAAGAGATTTGGGCCGACTTATGACAGCCATTCCTTTTAAAATGACACATTTTGCTTTCTGTTTGCCATTTTACTTACTGAAGTCAAACTGAAGTCTTCATGGATACTTCCAAACAAATCAGGAGAAGAAACATCAACAGAAAGACTGAATACAAGAGAGGTTAGAGAACGCTGCAATTAAAACACTAAAACTCAAAACTACAAGCAGCTGTGTCAATTTGGCTTCAAATGTTGCAGTGAAAAAAGTTACATAACTTTCTGTAGGTTTTCTCTATATTTAATTATTAATACCTCAAGGAATACACTAAGACCATCTCCTAACCTGAGCCATATAAAACTTGCTTTGGGGTGTTCTCAATATTTAATGACTGCACTAAACTTAAAAATAAGTTATCAAATGAAAAAATGTCAAATAATACTCAAAACATTAAAATGTTTTTTGACTATCAGAATTCCTGGGGGTGAGGATGTTGAACCTCGCTTTCATAGTAATCTGTTTACAGGTGAAGGGAGTTATAAAATTAGATAACTCAAAAGTAACCAAAAACAGAAAAAGATGGAAGGGGAAGGTTTCATAGTGAACACACTACCCAATTACTGATCTAATGCAATCATAATAAACGGCTTAGCAGACTTTTTCTTTAAACTTGACTGACTTCTGAATTCATATGGAAGTCTAAACAATAAAAATATAAAATAATACTTCAAAATAGAGGTAATAAAAGGATGCCATTCTAGAAAATATTCAAATACAAGAAAATGATCATTAAAACAGCACTATAACTGATACAAAGTACCTTTGAATAAATGGAGAAGATAAATTTCAGAACTACATTGCACTATACATTAGAATCCAGCAATGTAGGAAACGAAAATTTTAACCAAGTAACAAGGCTGATTTAATCAACAGGATCAATGCTGTGATTAACAATATAACCTCCTGGTGGATCAATAAGCCAAAGACATAATTCAGATACGTAAAACTAGGTCAATGAAGACCTACAAGAATTAAAAACTTGGGGTTGTGGCATGATAGCACACGCCTTTAATCCCAGTACTTGGGAGACAGATCTGTGAGGTCAAGGCCAGCCTGGTCCACACAGTGAGACCCTGTCTCAAAAAACTTTTAAAAAGCACAAAAAAACAACCTCAGAGCTAGAGAGATGACTCAGTGAGTCGTGCTTGCCACACAAGCATAAGGACCAGAGTTTAAATCCCTACCACCCATGTAAAGGCAAGGTGGGTGTGAAAGCCTGTCTGTAATCTCAGCTCTCGGGAGATGGGATCCCAGAGCAGTCTATGAACTCTGTCTTCAAGTGAAAGACTCCCTTCCTCAGTATATAAAGTAGAGAAAGAACTAAGACCACCCCCCCGACTTCTGACCATACACATCTACATACAGATGAGTGCCCACACACAAATGCAAACAGGCATACTCACACTCACACACATGAATTAAAAATTTATTTGGAAGGTAGGCATGATGGTGCACACCTTTAATCCCAGCACTCAGGAAGCAGAGACAAGCAGATCTCTGTGAGATCAAGGCCAGCCTGGTCTACATGTGAGTTCCAGGCCAGCTGGGGCTACAGGGAGACCTTGTCTCAAAAAGACGAAACAAACAAACAACCACTCCCCCCAAAAAACCCCAAACTTATTTGTTCACTAGGGATGATAGTTTTATATACTAAAAAGCAAAAATTAATACCAGGGAATGGACAGAAAATTTCTCAAATTGCCAATTATAGTTTGAAACATTTATTTTTGAGGTATCTATATTAAAGCAGGAATCTTAGGTGCATAAAAGTTATACTTGCCTTGTCATTCAGACAACACTATATGCCAGAAAACAACCAGAAGAGCATTCTGTAGGTTTTCTTTAATTGCTATGTGTGAAAGAACTACAAGTGAGTATCAGGACTGGGCATGGTGGCTCATGCTGGTATCCCCAGGACTCAGGAGGCTGAGGCAAGAGGACTACAGAGAGTTTGAGGCCACCGTGGGCTACATAGGAGGTGTAGGCCACCCTAGACTACATGGAAGATTCTGCCTCAGTGCATAATGTAAGCCTACACTTTAATGCTCTGAACTGTATCAATGACAATAATTTCATTTTCACTTACTGAGTAGTATCTATGTCTGCATCAGGCTTGGTGCTCAATTGTTCCAGACAATATATAAAAACCTGTATTAAAAACAGTAAGTTTTAGTGATACGATTTTCAGCTGCTAATCTATTTGAACATTAAAAACAATTTTACATAAATTACTGTGTATCCCATAAATAGTGACATAGGGAAAGGCGTGTCTAGTGTGTATGTGCATGTGTTATATGTGTGTGTTTCTATTTATGTGTGTTTGTGTTTGTGTGTATACATGTTTGTGTGTATACGTATTATATATATATATGAATGAAGTGGTAGAAATCTACATGCTATCAGTGTCCACTACGTGAGTGGTAAAAATTAAAATCACCTTGCTTGAATTAATTATGGTTTTGAATATATTTGAGGGAAACACCCTTTTTCTTTTCTTTATTATCCCCCAAAGATGCTCAACTTCATTTATGTGCCTACAAAGCACTAGTCCCAATCAAACAACTTTGCAACAGTAGATAAACTCTAAGCACCCAATTCTCATTTCATTTACTCTGTGATTTAAAAGAAATAAAAGTACAGAGGAGAAGAAGAGAGAGAACAGAGGAGAAGCTGATATAAACGAAAGATGCAGGTTCTGTAAGGCGAGCAGCAGCTGAGCTGACATTCATCTTCATCTCGATATCCCTCTACTCTGTTATGTACACAGACTTTAAAAGAAACCATGTGTAATAGTGTCGTGTACATTGTCACACATGTCTTCAGGTGTAGGCAGAACTGCTGTCTGTTACCTGCATGATACTGATGCTTAGTTGGCAAACTTCCTCCTGCATTTTAGGCTGTTGAAAGACCTATGAGGAAGAATTTAATAAAAACATGTTTTTAAAATTTATTTTATTATTATTTTAATTGTATATACATGAGTGTATTGCCTGCATGTACGTAGATGCACTTGTCTTGTGCAATGCCTGTAGAGGGCATCAGATCCCCTGGAAATGGAGTTATAGACAGCTGTTAGATGCCATGTGGGTGCAAGGAATTGAACCTGGGTCCTTACAAGGGCAGTCACTGCTCTTAACCACTGAGCCATCTCTCCAGCCCCTAGATAAAGACTTTGCTAAAGACAAATTTTGCTTGAAAAGTTAGATATAAAAAGCTAGAACACGGACAAGCACTTTGGGTGCAGGCATCTGACTGTGAAGGGCTGGCCTCAGGTGCTTGCCTGCTGTGGCGGTTCTGGTCCTGGCTGGCTGACAACACAAGCTAGTCATTCACTCTGTCCACAAGGTCCTGTATGGGCTCTGCTGCTAGCCCCTGGACTCACATTTTAACTCTGCCCAGCCCACCTTGGAACCCAATCTCAGCACATCTATGTAGCTAAACTAATTAAATGTATACCTCATAAGAGGTATGTGTTCAACCGTGATTCCCACAGAAGGGTTTCTCAAGAGCTTCTAAAGCAGGCGGAATAGAACTCACACTGGCTTCTCCAGGCTTGCAATCCACAACACCTTTCAGTGACTGCAGCGAGTGCACGATGCTCTGTTCAAACTGGCACGGCTGAAAAGAAAGAACATCTTCCTTAAACTCAGATGCAATGGCTACGACATTTACTGAGCTTAATATAGCCTAGCCCTCAAATTTCCAGATTTATGTAAAAGAATAAGGACACAAATAACCTGACCAGTAATCTACTTATTGATGTTTGGCATGTTTTTAAAATGAATAAATTTTGAGGCTAAGGTTTATCATCTAATTGATCAAAAACTCAATAGCTAAACTTTTTCTTCAAAATTCTCTTTTCACAGGAAAATGACAATGAGCAAACACTACATCACAGGCCTACTCTGAATGAGCTTTGTCTCCTGGGCATTCTGCACCTCTTATACTGTCCAGTAAAATCTAATGTCAACGATAAGAGTCTGGAGGATGTACAAGACCTTTTAAATAAGTCATTGCCTTCATTTTCTATACAAATTAAGTCAAAGAAATCAAACAAGAAAATATGTTCAAGGAAAGACATTCCAAGAAAGGCCAGAAGGAACCCAGTGCCTTAGTGCCTGTGTTTGGAGTTTGTGCTTGTGTGAGTAGGTGTGCCAGGCAGGTCAAGTGCTTTTTCTAGCTGAGACACACCAACACGAGAGTCACGATTTTTTTTTTAAAAAATGTGGAAATAAAGAAATAAAATTGTAGCTTCAATCAATAATAAGCATCATGAAGAACTCAGAAAGAACAGTGCTGGAGGGGCTCTTCTTTAAACAGGATGGCCAAGGAAGGTGCCTGAGAACAGCAGAGCTGCGGGGTGGGGGGCACCCGCATATTGAAAGGGCAAGGAGCAAGGCAGGGTCAACCCTCAACAACCAGCACTGGGCAGAACACTTGCTCAAAGAACCACTTCTCACACAGCAATTTTTAGAAATGGTTTGGTTAAAAAATAAAAGAAAGGAAAAGATGTACACATTAAAAAAAAAGTTTATTTTCTTAGAAAAAGAAGCTTGAGGTAAAATCGTACCTGATTGTTAATGTCTTTCTATTAACATACTCTGAAGCCACCAGAGGGCTCCAAAAAGTCTATTTAAAAGAAATAGGAAGGGAGGAGGATGAGACATAAACTACACAAAATCTCTCAGAGTCACATTGATCATTGTGTTGGGTTCGAGTCCCAAGGACTGTAAAATAAAGCACAAACAACTGTCAGATGTCTGACCCGATTTGACTACCTGCCCTAGCAGGCATAGCAATTTAAGATGCTAAAACAATAATGATCACCATAATACTGAAAACAAAATTAAAAGTTCAACCATTGCCAGCTTAATGTTGGCGTTCACGTATGTTTACTCAGACTTCTGGTATTAAGATTTGAACTGGATTTTCTCGGTTTTTATAGCTGTATTAATGTAATGAATGGGTAGTAAATACTAGAAAGTTCAGAAAGCTGCAGTTAAGGTGGGAGTAAATGATAGTCTGAACAACTACTCTTCCTTTTTCTAGAAATTTCTCTGTGTTGTCAGTGAACCATTCACTTTAGCAGACAGTAAGAAGTTATCACAAACCAGTCCAATTCTGAAAGAAGAGAATTATTCAAATTGAGAAAAAAAGCAGAACGCATTTTTGACATTAGAGGGAAACAGCACGCTTTCCAGTGAGCTGCTGAGGAGCCTCAGGAAGGGTCTGGCTAAAGACACACTTGGGATGCAAGAGCAGCCATGGCTTATTGCTCACTTTGACAACTCATAAGTAGTCTTCCCTAATCTCAGGCATAGGAAGGGAGGGAGGGATGAAGCATTCTCCTCACATCAGGGACTGAAGTTATTCAAAGTTAAAGGCATGCAAATTATTTACATCTTGTTCAGAGGCTCAGAGTACGTATGTACGTATACACACACATACACACACATACACACACACACACATACACACTAGGTTAAATACTGGGAGCTGAAATGCAGACTTATGTTCTAAGTCTTGATCCTTCTTTCCTCTTGAGAGAGGTCCATGCTGAACAGACAGAGCTTAGTCAGCACTATCAAGTCCACCATGGCAGCTTCCTTCTGCCTGGGCATCTGACTAGAATGCTTTGGCTGACTCCAGATGTTTTGACTGCCATTTCTTACAAGTTGTTTGTTCACACGGCCCACTGATTTAGCTCTAGACATTGTGCACACTTCACGTGGCTTGTGTGTGTGTGAGGGGGTCAAACATGAAATTAGTAATTTTATGATTTTATGACTACATAGGGAAGTCAAACTTTAAAAACAGACCATAGGCAGGTTTTCCTAGTAATTTCTCCAGTCATTTTTCCAAGGAAAATAATATAATGACCAGGCAACCCCAGCAGTCCTGAAATGCGGCTCTTCACGGCAGCCCACAAGAGGCTGTGCATGCGGATACACTGACCAGGAAGGTCCTGAAAAACTAATGCCTGCTCTGTGCCTGAGGACTCAATGTTGGTCAGGTTTTGTTTTTTAATGAAACATAGACTTTACATTCTCAAAATGAACATTTAACTTTTTTCTTTGCACAAAACTAATTTGAAACAGACACTATGTAAATAGTGTCTATGTCAATAGGTGACTTGAGGTCTAATTTCCTATCATTCCTAATGGATGATAGCCCAATGATTCTTAAGTTGTCTGGAAGAGATTTTAAAATATAATAAGAAATAATATAAAGTTTGGTGGCCCCAATTACTATAAATGTTAACTTACACCCCAACCTCCACCCCCCCAAAAATCCTTCACGCAAAGCGACTTGGTTCACAAAGTGTTGTGTGCAGAACTGCATTTATTCCTGACCTCACACTATGAGGATGCATTCTGCTCCTACTTTCCAAAGGGGCCAAGCAAGATAGGTTCTAGACCTCTTTAGGACTGGCTCTGATTGTAATGCAGGGAACCCTCTACCATGTCAGTATTGTTCAGAAGAGGGTGGGGTGAATGAACCATGGGCATGAGCCCCAGAGCAAATGTTAGATTTTCCAGGATTTATGTTAAAAAAATTTTTAAAAAGAAATTTCAATATAACTTAATACAACATATCTGTGCTGGTTAGACTTTAACTGTCATGTTGCCACAGCTGAGTCATCTGAGAGAAGAGTCTCAACTGAGGAATTTCCAGAGCAGACTGGCCTGTGGGTATATCTGTAGGAGAGTACCTTGATTGCTAATTGATGTAGGAAGGCCCAGCTCACTGTGGGCAGCACCATCCCTAGGCAGGTTGTCCTGAGCAGTGTAAGAAAGCTAGCTGAGGTATAAGCCTGTTCCCAGGTAGCAAGCATCTTCCTCCATGGTTCTGGTTTGACTCCTGTGGCTGTGAAGTGAGTTCCCTGGTCAGAGGAAATGCTGTGTGGAATAGCAAGCAGACCTGCCTTCAAGTTCCTGCCTTGACTTCCCTCAGTGATGGAATGTGACCTGGGACTGTAGGTCAAACAAACTCTTTCCTCCATTAAGTTGCCTTTGGTCAGTGTTTTATCACAGCAGCAGAAATGAAACTATAATATTCAAATAATTTCAACATATGATCAATGTAAAAAGTTGAGGTATTTTACATTCAGTCTATGTGTCTCAAGTGAATGCTATACCAAGTCTGTTCACTTTCTCTAAGGATTTAGTATGAGGGAGAATTAACTAAAGGAATACTTTTATGTAAATACAAACAACTGTGATCAGTAAAACAAAACCAATCAATTAAATATTTTTATTTAACTTATAAAACACTGCACATAAGCCAGTCTTCTCTAAGCTACATTGCCTCTTTGAAGTAAGGTACAGCCTGTTCCCAGGTAGCAAGCATCTTCCTCCATGGTTCTGGTTTGACTCCTATGGCTGTGAAGTGAGTTCCCTGGTCAGAGGAAATGCTGTGTGCTCTACATTGCCTCTTTGAAGTAAGGTATACTTGCATCTGTTGGTAGTGACTTAACACAGAGCCTTGTGTGATCTCTGCTTTTCAACAGCCTGACTCACCACTGGTGTACAGTTTGTGTGAGCCAAACCTATTTTATTCTTCACAGAAACTATAGGTTCCATCCCCAGAATTTTCTCTCTTTTGCTAAGGAAGACTAGAAACTGGGAGCAGCACAGTCAGCTGACCAGCTCAACTGCCTGGGGCATGGAAGGCTTTCTGGCCAAGAAGCTGTGAAGACAGCAGTTGGCTGTGGCTGCTAAGAGACCACTGTACTTCTTCCTGGCAGGAGTGAGGCCTCTGGGGACCACTGGGCCAGCCACACAGAAGCCAGTGAAAGCGTCAGAGAGAAGCCAATGGAGTGGCCCTGGGTACTGGCTATATGACCAGTACTGGCTGTGGGGCCATGTAAGAGTAGAGGCAATGCCTGTCCTGTGTGAATCTCTGCTTCAGCGGTAACTCACTACCTAGAAGAGTACTAGGAACGTCCCTCAAACAGGAGTGGAAACATGATATATTATGAAAAGTATTTTCAAAGGTATTTGAAATCCTAAAACCCATCTTGAAAAGTCATGTTTCTAGAATGAACAGATCATGGGTCTGTATGTGAACACGTGTGCAGAGGTTTGTGTTTCTGGGTTTGGTTTGGTTTTAGCTTAGGAGCCAACAACACCATTCTCTCCTGCTTTTCTGAAAACTTCAAGTTGCTACGTGGAATTAAGCATAATCTAGTTTTCAAAAGCACTGTAATGAAAGTAGAGATACAGGATGAAGTTACGCTAAAAGAAACCCACTGTTTTCACCCAGTTTAAAATATTTGTGATTAGCGTTAAATAAAACTGTCTCTGAGAAAGGAAAATTTGAGATTATTTCATTACTGCTAGAAACTAGAGCTACGAGCTACGATGTAAATGAATATGATCCTTATTAATATAGAATTTTTTCCATGTAAGACACTAGTGGAAAGGAGCTGAAACTTACTAGGGAATCAACCCTTCAATAGCCACACTCCAGTCTTCCTTTATGGCTAATCTCTTCATTTCTAATAAGACACCAGTAGAAAGGAGCTGAACTTACCAGGGAAGTCAATCCTTCGTTATCCACAACCCAATCCTCCTTTTCAGCTAATCTCTTTATCTCTACAAGAAAAACAAGCATACAAATACTTTTCATCAAAACTACTTCACTGAACTTCACAGAGATAAAAACCTAGATGGGTCACAGTTTTTTAACTATTTTATACAAGTGAGTGAAAACTTAGTGAAAATAGGGATAGACTGTAATCTGGTAGGTTTGAGGATTTAATTATGTTTCCTTCATTGGATTTCCTAACAAAAGGTTAGTGTGAGCATATTTTTTTTTTGACAGCATAGCCCAATTTGGAGACTTCGAGAACAGAAGCAAAGCAAAGACACCTCACCATGTATTTCTTACTCAGTTTCTATCCTTGAGAGTACCGGGCTTGTGTAAAATCGGCCCTCCAGCGTCTCCGCCTCAACTTCTTGGTGTACGGTTTAAATTTGGGAATAAAGGCCGGGCTCTCACTTTAGGAATGCCACCTACCCAAACTCAGTCAGGCCAGCTTGCTCAGGGAGGGTGGAAGGACATGTGAAATGAGAGAGGGCTGTTTAGTTTCTTACCTGAATCCCATTCTCTTTCCCTTTACACAACAAACTAACCACTGATTCTATAGTGAAGGGACTCCCTCACTTTAAAAGCCTGGGCAGATGACAATGACTTATACTGCTTAGAATAATGCTCTTGGTTGATTTAAAAAGAATACTTACTATTCAATAGTTGCTTTATAAATATAACCTGGTAACTTTTTAGAACTATAGCCTGGCTCTTTGTAGAAAATTCTGGAAAAAATTTAACATATTAAGAAAATAAAAGCATTTATAATTTTCAGTATTCTCAGAAACACTAAAAATGGTGTTCTCATTTTATGTGAAATTTTGAAATTAACTTTTTGAATATCCACCTGTTTTTGAAACAGGCTCTACCCCACAGTGTCTACTTAATAGTTACCCTGTTCTGACTTTTTTCTAGTTCCCTGTCTAGAACTTGTAATTCTAATTACTCTTGCCTTTACTTCTCCTTCACATCTCCTATTCATGATTCAAGGGCTTTCTTCTCCCCTTTCTACAATTTGGGAGTCTTTTAGATAGACCCACTGAAGGGGTACTCCAATTGCCTCACCCTGTATCCCTGTCCAGCATGGAAGAAGCCAGAGTCGTTGGTGTCCCTATTCCCCACTGGCAATTTGGATAACCCCTTTAGAAGATGGCATGATGGGAATTGGCTAGGCAGTTAGGGTAAAAAGACCCCAAAGAAATGTAGCCAGTTTCTTGGCTAAAAGTCAAAATGTCCATGGGGCCTGTTAGCAACATACACTGTTGCAAAGGCCAAAAATGTCCAAAGTATTTGGGAGCTTGTATCTAATCCTTAAAAGATTTTAAGGTTACCTCTTCAGAGGGGGGAATGTTGGAGGGGAGGGAGTGGGCATGGATTTGATCAAAACACCTTATATGCATGTATGAAATTCTCAATAAAGCTTTTGTAAAAGTTAAAAAAAAAAAAGAGGTTCTTGTATTCTTAAATAGTTTCAAGTAAATTCACCTTAATTTCTACATGGTCTTGAATCTCAACAAAATTAATTTGAAAAGATACTAAAAACAAAAGAAAAAAAAAAAACCCAAAAAACAAAAAACTCAATTCCATTCAATAGCTAGAAATAAACAAATAGATCCAAATTTCCCTAACACTGGTTTTCTCTTCTTTTCAGGGTGTTGGAATTTGGAAGGACTAAACCTACAACCTACTCAGGTAACTTTGTCCAGTAAATGTTATCAATTTTTTCTAACACACCTTCTGCTGTATGTTGCAACGTCACCACTATACAACGTATACGGAGGTCCAAAATTAGGTCCTGGATGATCTGTAACATGTCATTGGGAATTTCCAGGGCTGTTAATGACTCATAAGTCACCCTGTGAAACAAATAAAGCACAAGTGATGGGACCCCTGTCATTGCTTGCACAATGCTGTAATGGCCCCTTACGGAGCTTATGAGCATTAGGTAGAGAGTGGAGGTAACAACAGGCACTGTAACAGACCCTGCAACAGAAACCATACATACACATTCCTTTCCCACCCAACACAGAACACTAGCAATGTTTAAGAGATTCTTTGCTAGATTGTAAGTTAAAAAATAGAAGCAGTGGGGGCTGAAGAGATGGCTCAGCAGAGCACTGACTGTGCTGGAAGGACCTGGGTTCAATTCCTAGCATCCACATGGTGGCTAACAACTGTTCCTAACTCCAGTTCCAGGAGATCCCAAGTCCTCTTCTGACCTCCACAGGCATTGCAAGACACGACAGGAGTATACTTACACATGTAGGCAATACACTCGTACACAAAAAATTAATAATAATAATAATAAAGAGACAGAAGCAGCAGGATAAGAGAAGGAAAATTAAAATTTTGTTGTTGACAGACCAAACAACACATCCCACCATGAGGTGCTGTTTTTTTCAAAAAGCATGCAAACACACACACACACACACACACACACACACACACACAGAGCCACCATGTTTTGATGAGTATGGATCCCAAGGATCCAAACTTACCTTACAGTCTGGATAACATGCGTGAGCCACTGGCCTGAGAGTTCCACCTGAACCTCCCAGCCTCCATATTGACGCCCCTCGCCCTCTCGGATGCTGAGTGGGAGCAGGGCTCCACGGATCAGCTTCACCAGGGAGTGCATTACTTCCTGAATCATTTTCTAGAAGATGAAAAACAAAACTGCACTAAGTTCACCAATCTGGTCGGGAATCGTGGTGCACGCCTTTAATCCCAATACCCAAGAGACACAGGCAGGCAGATCTCTGTGAAACAGAGGCCAGTCTGGTCTAAATAGCAAGTTCCAGGCCAGCTGAGGCTGTTAAGAGAAACTTTTGTCTCAAACAAAACCCCACAAAAATCACCAAAGTGGTTAAAAATTTTGCCTGAATAATTAAAAAGTATCTTGCATATAAAGTCTTCCAGTAACGTTGGGAGAGAAAACCCAGTTGTACATCAGTACATGTACTATGAAAATTTATATCCTCAGCCTTGACTTACCTTGAAATCATTCTGTCTTTGCCTTACATTCTTTGCTCTTTCAATCTGGCCCAACTTCTCAGCAGTCTTAAAAAAAGAAAAACAAGTTATTTGCCTTTTAGAAATAATTTAACAAAGAAATGCTTTAGCATCTATACACGAAGATAAGAAATTTAACTTGATTAAATGAAATGCTTAAGACATAATCTAAGTTTCTGACTACAGAATGACTAATCAGAAAAACTTTTCTTATTCTAAAAAAAAGTTATTCATCTAATCTTTCTATATCATGTTGTAAGTCTCTATATAAACCCAAGAATTACGTTGAAACTATAAATTTTACAGGTGAATCACACACGCCACTCTTGTCAATAATTCCATACAATTACACCACACTGTATTATGTCCACGATGACATTCTTACAGTGATTTTTCACTGGCTAGTACAGAAACAAAGGGAAGAGTAACTCAGGCTTCCATTTCATTCTTCTGCTTAATATGTATTATAAACACAGGAATTACATCTGCCACTTCAGTTTTGAATCACTGCCTTCTTTACAGTGTAATTTAGGAGTGAATGCATTCTACCATTCTACAACTACTTATGTCTGCTTGCTCGGAAAGCCTATGTTTTCTTTTCCTTAACATAATGTGTGGAAGTCTGTTTTTGTAGTTAAGAAAGAGAGATCTATTTAACTGGATTTCTCTTAGCTTCTTATTAACAAATGTTCTAACAACCAAATACTACTATATAAAATATCCTAAAAAGGACAAGCTTAGAAAAGTTTCCAGATAAAGAAGCAATACCAAAATTATACAATGTAAAAGACATTCTGATACTTCATTGACACAGTGCAGTATTATCCTTTAAGTTAAGAATCCTCATGTAATTTTGATTAAAGTTAGAGGCGTATCAAAAGACCTTTCAAGTTAAGAATAGTTACATCATAAATGACTATGATATTAACTTGAAGTTAACATGAAAATACAAGTAATGTATTATATGTATAATATATGCATATATTGCATACATGCTAGAGATACCATGTGTAGAGCTTGGTTTATAACAGGAACATTACTGATGTGAATGAGTAAAAGAAGGCTTAGACTGCTGAGTGTTTTCAACAAAAATACCAGGCATGCATGATTAAAAGTGTTCAACAAACATACAGCTACATATCCTTCAAACTTTAACTTACATATATCACTTTTGAAATTTTTTATGAATTTCTGTGAAGCTTTTATCATTTTTCCTTTGTAGAAATGTACTTTTGCTTTGAAAGGACTAAACTTATGTATAAACACTTAAACATCACAAGAAAGAGATTTATGGTATTAAATTACAAGGATAAATTTGAGCCTGGAATTCTATAGCTGAGTTATTCGTTTAGAGAAGGAAAGCTAAAGGTCAAGGAGACTGTGATGAATGGATGGGAGAACACGGGCGCTGCATTCAGTTCATGACGACAGGAGGTCACATCAGAAAGCAGAGCCTGTGTTCCAGAAGATACTTTTTTGTAATCTGTGCATACATCAAGGAAATCATACATATTTCACTTTTCACGAAGATTTTAAAGATACATTACTTAAAAAAATCTTAGTACAGATAGTTCTTGATTTAAATGTAATCATGAGTTATATTTTCTTAGGTGCATAACCTATCTTCACTATCATCCACTGACTCTATAATGTGCAATAACAGATTGAAGTCAGTACCTTTTCTTTTTCTTTCTTTTCTTTTTTTTCTTTAAGATCTCACTATGAAGCCTATTCTGGCTTCGAACTTGTGATCTTTGTGCCCTAGCCTCCTGGGTGCTGGGATGACATGCATGTTGTCATTATGCCTGACTCCTTATTTCAGTTTTGAGACAGGGTCTGTTATGTAGCCCAGGTTGGACTAAGTCCTCAGCCTTCCCAGTACTGAGACTGCTGGGATTACAGGCATGTGACATCATACATAGCTACTTTCGTTTGTTAACACTAATATTATATATATTTGTATCAAATATTCTATGGAGATTAGTTATTATATATATTTACATTAATTTCTTTTTACAATTGAGTAAACATTCTATTAATTCCAAACGAGAAGCAGTTATTTGAGCTGGAAAAAAAAATTTCATGATTTTTTTGTTTGTTTGTTGACACAGAGTTTTCCCAAATGGCCAAGGCTGGCTTCAAACTCATAGACATTTGCCTGCTTCTGCCCCGAGTGCTGGAATCAAAAGTGTACACTACCACACCCAGCTTTTCCACGATTCTTAAACTGAAAGTTAGAATTGGGATAGCCTTTCCATATTGTAGATGGGAGAGAGACTTTTAATGGTATGATAAATACCCAGGGTCGGGGGCAGCATAGGGAGTTTCTATAGCTTGTGGAACAGTTTTTGGGACTGAAGAACAAAGTTTTGGGTTGGGAGGGGTATGAGAGGATAAATGAGGTTACAGGTCATACAAGAGACCAGATTTACATCCAGGAGATGATTCATTTTTGCTTTGCCAAATCATTTACTGTGTAGCAAGTCTAATAACTTAGTATACACTGATAAAAGCATGTGTTTAGGGAACTGTGGGGGGCAAGTAGTAATCACTTGGAATTTCATTGATTAAAGACAAACTGGGCTGGGGGAGTGGTCAGGGGCAGAACTCACTGCTCAGCATTCTAGAGGCCTTGGGATTAATCCTCAATAGCAACTCCCTCCTTCAAAAACCAACCCCAAATAAACAAGTAAATGATAAAGCTTCAGGAAATGACAGGATTGAATAAACTGACAAATGGTTGTAGACATAAATATTCAAAACCTACAGATGCATGTTTGTTTTATTAATTGTACGTAACCAACCCTTTAGAACAGCAAACTGAAGATTTTTTGTGTGTGTGACTTATGGCCATTTTTTAATGCAGTATACTTTATATGCAACACTTGTAACAAATCTATTAAAATTGCATTGTAAGAAAAACATTTAAACCCTAATTTATCCCCAATCACTGAAAAAGCTAACTCATGAGTTCACTGCTTAATGCCACTTTATCTCTTCATTTTAATACAAATGAGAACTGTTTAAAGTGTTGTAAGCAGAGCAGCACCAGGATTAGGTACCCAGTAATGAGGGGTAAGTGCTGGGCTGGCCTGAATGTGGCAATGGATCATGTCCATGGTTGAGATGCCACCCCGACGGTTACGTGACACACCAAGAATATTTCTCTCTGAATCCAGGCTACCCAGCCAAGCCAAAGGGCTCTACTGGCCTGCATTCTGCTTTGCCCAGCTCACTGAGGGATACACAGCTGGTTTCCAAGTGCTGCCATTTGTCAGATCTTTGTCGTAAGACACATTTTTCTCCTTGGCTCTGTCCTTTCCCACTAATTTTGCTTTGTAGTTTCAAATACCATTTCTCTTTATGGTCTCCCAGATGGGTATCTGCAGCCCAAGTTCTCTCAGACCCAGACTGGGATATCAAGACACCTACTATCTCTTCTAGAATACTTCTCAGGAACCTCACATTCAGCACATTAAAAACACAAACCTGGCTGATTTCCTCCAAGAATGAGAATGAATGGCACATGCTTATCCGGGAGCCTGTTTCAGAGCTGCCTCTGAATGCTTGCCCTTACCTCTCCCCTTGAGCCATCAGCAAGACCTGCATGCCACTCCGAATACAAACCACATCTATCACTTTCTCTCCACCTCCGCTGGCAACATCTTCCTGGCCCTCATTCCTCCTACACACACAACCCTACTGCTTCCTCACTCGATCCTCTCCAAAAGGCAGCTGGCCCACTGTATCTCCAGCCTTAACTCTCCTCCAGACACGTAAGCCTGCTAGGGCCGGTCCATGCCAGGGCTCTCCTCAGCTCCTCTCCTTGGCGGCACAAGTGCCCTGAGAGCGTCTTTGTCTACTTGTGTGCTAAGTCTTAGCTGGAAGGTCATGCACACAGACACCCTCCTCTGCATCCACCACTGACCTTTGTTTCAGGCTGGGCTTTTTTCCTTTGCTACTTACAGAATTAGATCAGTTTTGAAAAATAAATTTCTAATCTTCCTCTCCACGAGGGGAAGAAAGTCAGCGTTATCTCAGTCACTGTTTTATTTATATCATATTTGAGCATTTTAAAATGGATGTGTGCATATATACTGTATGCACAGCATGTGTATACATGTTTGCCACGTCTGTGCACTGTGTACATGTATGTATGGATATGTGTGTATCAGTATGGTTAGGAGTCTTCAGGACTTGCCTGAACATATTTCAGAAAGCACCTCTACCTTCCGTCTGAGCAGATCTAAACACTTTCTAAAAGCACCTGCATACTGAGTCTTGCGTGGCTGACTAGCCAAGCACCAAGCTCTAGCACACTACACTACAGCATGGTTTCTGAAAAGCCTGGAGGACTCTGCTCCTCTCTGGAGACATAAGCTGTCAACAAAACGAAGAGCAACTTTTGTGTGAAGGCAACAGTTTCTGACTGTTTTAGTCTCATGCAGAACTGAGCAAACCCAACACAGGGACTTCCTAAGATATGCCCTATTTAAAAGAAAACAGGGGGCTGCAGAGATGGCTCAGCGGTTGAGAACACTGACTATTCTTGCAGAAGACCTGGGTTCAAATCCCACCACCCACATTGCAGCTAACAACTGTCCATAACTCCAGTTCCAGGGGCTCCAACAGCCTCTTTTGTCCTCTGTGGGCATTGCACAACACAGGTGTACTTATCTATATACAGGCAATACACACACATAAAAATAATATATAAAATATATTTTAAAAATGCTACATTTGAAACATAGCTACAGGTGAGATTTGAACAGAATATTACCCGTTTTGTTAACTATACCTCAGTTCTTTCCTGCACACACAGACCAAAACCACTTTGTGGTGAGCCCAACGGCACATTTCGCTGTTCTGATTCACTTGGGCTCAAATGGTTTAAAGAACTATTGTTTAAACTGCTAGAAACTTTTAACAAATAAGCTCTTAATAAAACAAGATATAATAAGAAAATTTAAGTTAATTGTGTCTGAATATGAAAAAGCTTTTATGACATTGCACATGAATTATTTAAAGCACCAGACCTCTTCCGGACATTACTTTAATGAAGTTTCTGGTTTCCCACAGCCTGCTGGGGTGGGCACTTTCCAACTCTTCTTTTCCTGCTACTCCCCTGTGGTGCTTTCAAGCTTCTCAAGAGAAAGTAAATGCTCTAAAAATACTCTTGAATCTCCAGACAGAATTATACTTGTTACTATAAACTTTAAAGAAAAGTTTATGAACATCAATAGGCTAGAAACATCACAGGCGTATACAACTGAGTAGATTAATTTTTTTTTTCATTTCAACAATAGGTTGTCTTGAAATCTGAAGTAGGCCACCTATTTTTCATTTACAACTACATATTTCTCTTAGGTAGGACCTTTAAGGAAGGGAAGTATATTCCCTTTTGGCTGATATAGCCAGATCAAAAGCTCTTAGCAATTCTATGGCTCTAGAAAGACTCAAAGGAACTACACCCCACGTGGGGTGAGCTACCTGTAAGAGAAGATCCAAATGACAGGGAGTATGTTCAAAGACACTCAGTTGGATAAAATAAGGAAGGTGATGCATGACATGAAAGAGGAATTCAACAAAGACAGAAACACTGAAGAAAAGCCAGTCTTAAATGCTGGAGCTAAAAACTGTGGTAAGTCCAATAAAAAAAAAAAATACCGTGGAAAGCCTCGGCAATGAATGGACCAGGGAAGGAGACCACAGGATAGCTGAACTTGAAAACTAGGTGGATGAAATGAATGATCCAACAAGGACAAAGAGAGGAGAGTACCAGTGGGAATCACAAGGTATTCTTGACACTGATCTTCAATGAAGAGCTAACATTAGTATTTCTCAAACTAATGCATAAAATAGAAAAGGCTAAAAAAAAAACCCAGCATGGAAGGGGAGGTAGGCACAAATCCCCATTCCTACCTGAATTGCCATTGGTAATTAATGGCCGCTAGAAGGGGGAGAATCAGTTTTCTTTAAGGGTGTGGCCTTGTTAGGTCGACCAACCCCAACAATATTTCAGCAGCACACAAATTGGACGTGAAGTTGTAGGGGAGTAAGGAGGTCGGGGACGCAGGGTGGGTCTGAGAGGAAATGGAAGGGGGAGAATGATAAAAACATTGTCTGAAAGTCTCAAAGAATCAAAATATTATTTTTTAAAAAAAATCCATCATCCCTTCACGTTAAAAGTCCTGAAGAAAAACAGAGTAGAGGCTGGAGAGATGGCTCAGTGGTTAAGAGAACATACTGCTTGGCCAGAGGGCCCAAGTTTGGTTCCTAGCACCCACATCTGCTGGCTCACACGGCCTATAATTCCAGTTCTAGGGGGGATCTGATGCTGCTGCTCTCCAAGGATACTTGTATTCATGTGCACAGACCCCCTACAAAGACACACACATATACGTAAACCTAAATAAATAAAATCTAGTGATCATTGTGGAAGTCCCATGGAAGGTCAAACCAGAAAAAAATCCCAGCATAGAGATGAGGAAGTGGGTAAGAAGCTCCAACCCCTTCTAAGGAAATTGTGGTAACAGATGGTTGCTGGGGGAGGGGCTGAGATGCTTTCTTTCAAGCATGGGACTCCTGATAGATAAACCAGATTCCAGTGAATGAATCCACACTGTAGGGCATTTGGAGCCACAAATTAGCCTCTATAGGCCTTATATATTTAAAATAGAATGCATTATATTGGGTGGGGGCAATAAGAGGACCTGTGACTAGGGCATATTATTTAAATAACATCAAATTATATTGTATGAAAATGGCAAAAATTCAATAAAAAGACAAAACAACAAAAAGTGTTGGTGGGTATCAATTAAGAGTTATAACATCGAGGCTGGATAGATGGCTCAGTGGTTAAGAATACTGGTTGTTCTTGCAGAAGACTGGGTTCAAATCCTAGCACTCACATGGCAGTTAACAACTGTTGGTAACTCTAGTTCCCGGGGCTCTGACAGCCTCTTCTAGCCTCCGTGGGCACTGCATGACATGGGTGCACTTACGTACATGCAGGCAATACACACACACATAAAATAAAAAATAATAAATAAAATATTAAAAAAAATAAGTGAAGACTTCTTAAGACCTGCTGAAGACACCATATATTTTGGTTGCAGGGCATAGAGAAATCGATCTCAAACTGACTGGAAAATTTCCTTCCTGCTGGCTAGCTTTCATAGTGTTAGAAGGTGCTACGCAGGCTCCTGGGGGAGAAAAGATACCAGCACTCGACCTTGAATGCTACAGTACTAACCTGTCAGGCAAGATGTGTCCACTGGTACAATGGTGGCATGATTGATTAGTTATGGGGGTAACCAATTACTTTCAAGACTGGATTCGAGGCTGGCTTCACAGGAGTGAATTCATGCCTAGTATAGTAAACTTGGTCAAAAGTCCATGGTTAGGGACATTATAGGTCCAACTGGGGGAACTTACTAGTTTTGTTTTGCTAAATGGTTGTCAAACTGCCTTCTAAATATTTACGTTTATACCAATAGATTTGTGCTGTTCTCAACTTTGATCAAAGAAGCTTCTTTTTGCAGTGGGCAGAAACTCCTAACAGGTCAAAGTGCTGGGAATAAGTGATTGTGAGAGTTCATTGCTAAATGGGACCTCTACATCACAGACACCCCACATCAACATACACAACTCCAAGGCTCAGGGAACATATAGAAGAGAGCACAGAAAGAATTTATGAACTGGAGGATGGGAAGGAGTGCTATGAAATGCTGTCTTCTGGATAATGCATTCATGAACTCACAGCACCTGTAGTTGCCTGCACAAGACCGGCCCAAGACCAAGTTAGTCAAAATTCCAGCATAGTTGGGGGAGGGGCTCACGAGGCCCCATCCCATACGGAGGAGCTACTGGAAGCTGATAATTGCTGAGGGAAGGAGAGTTATTTTTCTTTGGGCATGTGGCCCCTGGTAGGTTTCCCACATCCCAGAGGATGGCCCCACAACCATGTGCACATGGGTAGCACTAATTAGACTTAGAATGGGAGAGGTAGAGAGGAAGAGAAAGAAGAGGAGGAGGAGGAGAGGAGGGCTTGATGAAGTTGGGAGAGGGACTGTCTGGGTATTCAGAGCGAATGGGAAGGGGAAGGAGTACGGGTAATGAGCAAAATGCACTGTAAACATGTACGAAATTCTCAAAGAAGAATTGTAAAGTATTATATTAAAAAGATATTTAGTAAATATAAAGACATAAAAGAAAGCCTTTGTGCAAACAAAGACAGAGAACTAGGCAACTTCTATGACCATGAAATTCATTCCACTGAGACATTCCATGTTTAGATGGATCTCCTGGGATCTGTGCTCAAGCTGTAAGCTTCCTCTGTCAACCATCACTTTTGGTCATCCAAAATTGCATCCACACAATTGGGTCTGACTGACATTCCACTCAACACTGATTCTCTAAAAGCTTCCCTTATCCTTTTCTCTTCAGTTGTCCATTTCATTAAATCATTACAACTATTTATTGAGATGTTATTCTCTTTTTACAGATAAGAAAACTGAGTCTCAAACATCATATAAAGTCAAGGTCACATGGTTATGATGTATTAGGGATTGATAATGCTTTTAATTAATCTTAAGATGTGAAAATGGTTAACGGTGTCAAAACTTCTAAGTTTTTTTAAAAAAAAATTCCTCAGGCTGGGCATGGTAGCGCACTCCTTTAATTCCAACACTTGGGAGGCAGAGGCAGGCGGATCTTTGTGAGTTCGAGGCCAGCCTGGTCTACACAGTGAGTTCCAGGACAGCTGGGGCTACAAGGAGATCCTGTCTCAAAAAAGACAAAAAAAAAAAAGTACCTCAAAACCTAAAGTTTTTTGCTGTTGTTTGTTTTTAATGTATATGAGTGTACTGCCTGCATGTGTGTAAGTGTACCTGTGTTGTGCAATGCCCCCAAAGGTAAGAAGAGGGCATCGGATCCCTTAGAACTGACTGGAGTGTTAGCTGGCATGTGGGTGCTGGGAATCGAACCCGGGTCCTTTGCAAGAGCAGTCAGTGCTCTTAACTGCTGAGTCATCTCTCCAATTCCCAAACTTAAAGTTTTAAGACTAGAAATTCAGTGTCCTAGCCCCACCTATGGTCAAATCTGTATACATACATACCTCACTGAAGAGACTTCCATTAACATAGGAAATCCAGAGTTTCCAGAAGTTAGGCAGCTGATTTACAACAAGTTCGGTTAATTTTTCCACAAATGCCACTCTGTGGGGAGTTCTGTATCTCCATGCTAAATGAGCAAAGAATAAAACACAATGAGTACACTTTTGAATCAGGAAGAAAACCCTACTGGAACACAGCGACCTTGGCCCCTCCTCCTTCTCTCGCCCTCTGGGAGGAGGCATCCACTGCAGCACTGTACTGGCAATGCCAGGCAGCGGGTCAGAGGCACAACTGCCAAGGCCTGAGGGTGACAGCACTTCAGCAATTCACCCCTTTCCTCAGGGTGGTTAGTTTCTCTACAAAAAGCCATGCCTTCACCAGCAGAGAATGGTCCAGCCAGGGCCTGCTCCATGTCAATAATGAGTACCAAGGAGAATCTGAGCCTATGACGCACTGCTAAACACCCTAGGTGGTGAAAATTCAGTGAAGAATCCAGGAACATACCCAAGTACAAACACCTGATGAGTAACACGCCTATAACAGAGACACAGGAAAAGCTAAAATCTCACTGATGTTACCATATAATGGGAATAAAACAAATGAAGAAGTTCAGGGATACTGGTCACTTCCAGGGTCTCCACCACCTTCCCTGAGATAATCATCTCCCACTGGCTCCAGAGCACCTCCCCGCCGCTCCCTGGCTACTCCCCACACAGCTGCCATTCAAACCAGTTGGTAGCACCCACTATGAATGCACTGGGGTCGAATCTAACCCTTCTACAGCAACTTCAAAGAGAGTTCAGCCTCAGGTTACAACAGATGTTTGGCTCTTTTCTCATAGCTATGGTTCCTAGAGTCCCACATTCACACAGAAAACATTCTTTTTCTCTCCATTGATATAGACTATTTCGTACTTCGGAAGCATTCAAATGAACAAGCTTCCTTCTAATAGATGAGACCAGTTTCTATCTTTTGCAGTTAATATTAATACTTTCCCTGATAACTGGAAACCTACACTACTTAGCACATGTGAAAGAAAGAAGAAATTCCAAAACAAGAATTGCTAGGTTGGTGAGTACAGGCAGCTGTAAGTTTGAGAAAGCACTGCCTTGGGTTTTCACACTTTCAGAGGAAACTCAGGAAAGCAGCGCTTTTACCATATTCTCACCAAAAAACAAACAAACCAAACACACAAAACCCAAAACAAAACAAAAAGACACCTGGAAGTTTTGCAGGATTGGAAGCTCACTGTAGTATTATGCCGCATCATCATCATCACCATCATCATCATCACCATCATCATCATCACCATCATCATCATCACCATCACCATCATCATCACCACCACCATCATCACTATCATCATCACCATCATCACCATCACCACCACTACCATCATCATCATCACTATCATCATCACCATCACCATCATCATCATCATCACCATCATCACCACCATCACCACCATCATCATCATCATCATCACCATCATCACCACCATCATCATATCACCATCATCATCATCATCACCATCATCACCATCATCACCACTATCATCATATCACCATCATCATCATCATCACCATCACCATCATCACTATCATCATCATTGATGAGGGTTAGCACCTATTCATGTTCTTAAGAAGCACCAAGGCTCCCTTTGCCATCCATGTCTCACAAGAGCATTTTTATGATGTGGGAAAAAGTTTAAAACTATTTTTAGATGGTAAAAGACATGGTTCTTCTTTAAAGGGCACAGTAAGCTTTTAGTTGTTCATTTGGCTAATATTTGCTGAAAATCGACTGTGAGCTTCTCTTTCAGCTACACCCAAGATCCGTTTGGAATGCTTACTGCTAACCAAGCAAGCTCTGCCTTCACAGAGCTTACAGAACACAAAGTTCACACATCATAGTCGCAATGTGAGGCAAGTATCAAAGACTTCATCTGACGACATGGCTGTTTTTTCCAAAAGTAACCAATAAAGCTGAACTATGTAAAAAATGGCATATAGCATGCTGTCTAGCATACGTAGTCATGACCAGGTGTGTTACAGATACAAAATGAGACAAAAAAAGTTTTTTAAAATGTTCTTTTAAATTTAAATCTTTAAGTTGAAGCATTGAAAGATCCGCCAGACATGGTGGTAACTGTTACATGGCAATTTCTCCAAGGATAATTCCTCCAAAGACCTGAGTTCCTCCCTGTGGCTATTCTGACCTTGACCCTGTATTCCCCACTGTGGAAAGCTCCCTTACCTCATAGATTCTTGGAATTGGTTGTGTGCCGGGAAAGCAACACAGGCAGAGCCTAGTCCCTGTGGGCCCTGAACCTGGCCTGGCTCTGTATGGTCTGACTTGTTCCTAACCTATGCCTGTGCCGTCCACCTATATGCATGTATACTGTTGCCATGTTATAAAGTCTATCCATGTGAACACACTCTTCCTTACATACACGCTATCCAGACACCGTACCCATCCAGGTATTCGTACCCATCCATGTACATACACACTCTAAAAACAAGCCTCAAAGAGCAGTTGATCATGATGATTACTGTCTAGCTCCAAACAAAGAGGGAACACACTGATTTCTCACTAGTTAAGAAATAAAAACCTTTTAAAAATCAGAAGGTGAAAAAGTAAACTCAGTTTCCTTCTTATGAAATTTGGTAATAAGCACTATAATTGGAAGGATTATATGATGGGAAAATTATTTAACAATTATAAATAAAAACATAGGGGCTGGAAAGATAGCTCAGCGGTTAAGAGCACTGGCTGCTCTTGTAGAGGACCCTGGTTCAATTCTCAGAACCCACAAAGTGGCTAACAACCACCCAAAACTCCAGTTCCAGGGGATCTGATACACTCTTCTGACTTCCATAGGCCCTGCATAACATGGGTACACTTACATACAAGCAGGAAATATGTTCCTACACATAAAATAATAATAAATAAAATATTAAAAAATAAAAACATAGCAAACCAATTCAAACAATTACTTCGCTAAATCTGTGCATGGTATATGAGCCTGTGAACTGCTCTGTCTCATTGCACCACGTGCAGAATGTTCAGATGGCCGCTGAGAAGGGCTGTCAGATAAACTCTGGTGTTAGAATTGCTCCAAGTGCCCAGTCACCCAGCACTCAGAAAACAGCGTGGTTTCAGGGCCCCTGGTCTGTGGCAAGGGAAAATTCGTAGTATCATATTCTCTTTCATCTCTTTATTCCTGACAATTTTCTTGTGCATATTAACAGTGTCTTTTAGTACATCCTTCTAAGTTCACATTCTGTCAGATCACGTAGAGGAAAGGGCAATGACTTACTGTCATCCCGACCAGACTGAAAGCTGCTTCCCCTCTTCAGAGACGCGGTCTGACTGAGATGGCCCAACACAGAGGGACGCACATCACTATCCAGGTCCAGCATGGGGCTGTGTGGGCTTGGGTTACCTGGAAGAGAGACAGCATTTCCATATAGTTTATGTATTTGTATTTCATTGATTTAATGCAGTGCTTTTCCAAGGAAATTTCTTGTTCAACCATTCCACTCTTTTTTAAAGTAAAGCATTTATTGAGTAAAATAAATAACACTTTAAATAGCTTTTATTTCTTATGGTGCTAGGGATTGAACCCAGAGCTTCATGAAAGAGCATTGCTACCAAGCTACCTCACCTGTAGCCCTAAACAGTCTTAAAAGTCATTTCCACTATGACAACTTTAGAGAATTCAATTCATCATTTTGACTTAATACAGAATTAAGAGACCATATAGTGGTTTGTGCATAATTTAGAATGCAGGCAGCAAAACTAGGGATAAAATGTAAAAAAATTAAGAAGAGAAATCCATTTTGGCAAAACAAGTTCTGGCTCTTAGAAAGGAACTCCCAGAGTTCTGAGTCCTCTGCTTCCATAGCTAATCTTTCCAGCCTAGAATTAGCGCAGATCTCCATAGAACCTAGGCACAGTCATGTAGGTCTCTGTAAGTCTGTCTGCTTTCCTGTATTTTTCAGGAAAGCGTAATTTCTCCTTTTCTTCTTCACACCTTTCTTACTAAACATGCTTTCTTTAAGTATTTCTTTACTTCTTCTCTAAACCTTCCTTCTCCTAGCCATGTGGCTGCTAGTCAGCCACATGTCTGACCTCCTTGTAGGCTTTAAACCTGCATGGCTCCATGACTTTCTTTCCTCCTTCCCACCATTCACCTCCTCAAGGCAGCTGCAAGATTACCAGCTCGCCTGCTCTGAGGGTTTTTCTTTAAGATTCAAATAAAATGGTAAAAGCTTCCATTTGGGTCCATTCTTAAATTCTTTTATGAACCCTCAAAGGGACCCTGTTTCTCGCTGTTTTGCCAGGTTTGGTTCATGAACATGGGGAAACTGAGGTTTTCAGGCCCCTGGAAGCTTGCACATGTGGACTTTTGACAGTGGTGGCATGGAGCACAGGACCCACGCCAACTCAATCAGACAAGGGCCCAGAGTGGAGCAGGCCGGCCCTAGTCAGAACTGCTGGAGATTGATTTCTGTCGGGTGAGGAGGGATGGATCTTACTATTTCTGGATGAGCTCACTGGACTCCAGTGGATGAATCTGCACCGAGGGATATCTGGGTACAGATGCTTCACCGCATAGGATTTGGCATGTACGATGGAATGCACGAGGTGTGGCAGGGGGAGGTGTGTGTGCAGGATGGGGGAGGGGATCTCGATTTGATTTAAAAATTTTTTTTATAAACCCAAAATGAAGTGGTATATGATGCACAGTTTTAAAAAAAGATGCAAACTTTGGGGCTGGAGAGAGGGTTCAGCAGTTAAGAGCACTGACTGCTCTTGCAGAGGACCCAGACCCAGAGAACCCAGAGCACCCACATGTCAGCTACGAATCATCCTTAACTCCAGCTCTAGAGGAATCTGAAGCCCTCTTCTGACCTCCACGGTGACACGGGTGCACTCACATATGTGCAGGCAATATACTCATACACATAAAATGAAAATAATAAAATATTTTTAAAAATGCAAACTTTAAATGTGAGGATTAGTGCTAATTGCAAGGATCTGGAATAACTAATGTGTAGGCAAACCTCCAGCCACACCTATGAGGAATTACATCGCCTCTGGGCAAGCTTGTGAAGATTCTGTTAATTAGGTTATCTGGAGAAGGCCTACCCTAAAGTGGGCGGTGCCATTCCCTGATGCCATTCTGACTGCACCTAGAAAGGAGAAGCTGGCTGAGCACAAGCATCCCTTGCTCTTGGCTTCCTGACTGTGGAGGCAATGTGACTGCTGTCTTGACTTCTCACCAGGACAGGCTGTAACTCCAATGGGAAGTAGGAATAAGCCCTTTCCCCTTTAATGTTGCTTGTTTCACAGCAATAGGAAAAGAAACTAAGACAGCAAAGAAACAGCATTTGGCAATGTTTTTTTCTATATTAAATAGGATATGGGTATGTGGAGACTTTAATGATATGTGACATTTTCCTTTGCAGTTTATGTAGTCTCCACTGCTATTAATTATAGAATTCTGAAAAGAATCAAATATTAATTCTCTGACATGGCAGAAAAACATAAAGGGGCTCAAACTTACAAACACTTTTTAAAAAATTTTAAATAAAATAATTTTAAAAAATTATAATGTATATAAACATGGTATTAAAAATTTTTTTATATATATAAAATTATTAAGAAAGAAAATATTTCCAAGTTTCCTGAAAATAGACTCCGACCATTCCTGTAACTCAATCACCACTGCTTTAGCAGCAACTCTGAAAATGTTCTTTCCTCCACAACTGGTATTTTGACAAATTTAAATAGTGTGATATTATATTATTTGGAGCTTAAATGAATTTTCAATTCTGAAACTCTAAAGATGAGTTTACCTTTTTCTTTAATAATAGAAACTTTATTAGGAGGATGCTTTTATTCCATCAGAAACCATGGCATCAGTGCTCTGCTAGTTATACATGAAATAATTTAATTGGTAACCTAGCCTTACTACCAGGTCTAACTCTGAGCAGGGAGCTGGAACAGCATGGCCTGCAGGTCAAATACTGGCACCTGGACCAGCTCTGTAAGCTGCAGGTATGCTGGGTGACCAGACGGTGGCACTGCAGGGCTGCAGGCAAGAGCTTAAGCTGCAAACTAAGGGGTGGGCACTAGTTTAGAAAAGGGTTTATGTAGAGTTCCTTTGCTCTATCAAGAAGCCTTACAATGCGTAAAAAGGAACTAGAAGAGTTATGCTTTTAAGAGGAAATTTATTTGAAATAAACCAGTTACCACAAATTATTTACTGTCAAAAAATTTAAAACCTTGAGGACTCTGACTCCTTTCAAGTTTCAGTTACATGCCTTGGTATTTGTATTCTACAAAATGATTATAAGTATGAAGTAGCTCTGACAAGTATTCCTATAAGACAACAGAGAATAAGATAAAAACTTAATTTTGCAAACTCTAAAATCAATAAACAGCTTTAAAATATTTCACAAGAAATCAGCCTATCTTTTCTTGATTATTTTACCTTACAATATGAAAGCAGTATCACATGATGGGCTTGAAAGAATTTGTTCATTATATAAGGCATATACAACTGGGGCTGAAGAGATGGCTCAGTGGTTAAGGGCAGGTACTGTTCTTGCAGAGGATCCAAGTTCAGTTCCTAGCACCCACTGGCAGGCAGCTTACAGCCACCTTTAACTCTAGCTCCAGGGGATTTTATACCTTCTTCTGGCCTCAGTAGGCACCTGCATATATGAGCACATACCTCTCCATAATTAAAAATAAGAAAAATCTTTAAAAAGCATATACAACTGAAAATGATGTCATTTTGTATATTTTCCCCGAAAGTGAACAGATCTGGCCATTTGGAGATCAGCTGAGGAGCATGTTCTATCATATTCACACAGTTTTGATTTTCGATGAGTTTGTTTGCAATGGGAGCTTTTGTAGGTGACGGGGGAATAAAGTTTTTGTAACAATGTGTAAGAACCCTGTCCTTTTCAAACTAATACTACATTAATATGAATTCTGACAAATCATTTGTTTTCTTGGACATAAACTTTCTCAGGAAACAAACTCTTATGATTTTTGCTGAATGGAAATTTTGGGTTTTGTTTTTGCTCTGGTGGTTTTATTGGCAATACTGGGGGCTGGGGAGCAGAATCAGCTCATGGCCTCAAGCATGCTGGGTCAACACTTCACCTCTCCATCCCCAGCACACGGAAACTTTAAGAACACTACTGTAAAATAGGAAGTTATTATACTTCCTGACTGTCCCCTCATCAGAAACTAGAGTAGGACTACACAGGAAGAGGAAGTCTCACGGCCACGCAGCCAACGTAGAGTTCGGGTAGCAGCTCAATCACAGGCTATGTTGCAAATCATACCAATAAAAACTAGTGCTTTAAACAATGCAACTGTACAATGTGCCTTAGCTATAAAATTATGATTTTTATGATTCAGTTTGAATCTGTATTTTTAATTTATTTACTTTTATTTTATGAAAAATAAAAGTATACTTTATAAAAAAGTATACTTTTTATTTTATGTATATGTAAGTATACGCATGTCATGAGATTCCTGCAGAGGCCATAAGAGGGCATGGGATCCCCTAGTACTGAAGTTACAGGTGGCTGTTAACATGTGGGTGTGGGAACAAAACCCAGGTCCTCTGCAAGAGCAGTCAGTGCTTTTAACCACTGAACCATCTCCCCAGCCCCTGAATCAGAAAATTTAAATTAATAGTATGAACAAAATGGGAAATTCACTTATTCTGCTACCCAGTCCTACAATTTGGAGCTTGGATCAGTAGTGTTATTTAACTAAAGGCATAAAAAGTTTGCTGCTTCACACAGAGCAAGAGTGGGAGCTATGCCTGAAAAGGAAGTGATATACACAAATACATTCACACGAAAAAAGGCCTGTCCGATCAAAATGCCGTCATTGTAACCTGTGGAAGTTATCTGAGGAATAACTATGATGTCAAAGATCACCTGGGGGATAAAATTTCTCAGGTGATCTTTGACATCATAGTTATTCCTTAGATACTTCAATAGCTGGGCATGGTGGTGCACGCCTGTAGTCCCAGCACTTGGGAGGCAGAGGCAGGTGGATCTTTGCGAGTTCGCGGCCAGCCTGGTCTACATAGTGAGTTCCAGGACAGCTGGGGATACAGGAAGACCCTGTCTCAAAAAGACAAAAAAAAAAAAAAAAAAAAATTCAAATAGGCAGAGAGCCTTGAAGCACAAGCAGTCATCAGCATGGTGTTCCAGTTCTAAGTACCAATTTACAGGAAACAATACAAACAACACTCTGGAAGTAACATACTCTTAGCATCTAGCTGTATCCTTCCAACTTCCACAAACCAGTGATTGATTTATAATTTTACCAAATGACTAAAAGAAAAAAATCCTTTGACACACTCTACACACACACACACACACACACACAAAACGATGCATGTCT